ATCTGCAGTTCTCTAGGTTTCAGTAATGAGCCAGTCTGAAACTTGACCAGCCAGCCTGCCAAGTGTACACATTATTGTGTCTAATATATTAACTTACAATTGAAAATCTGGGACTGGTGCCCAATATGAATATTCATGCACTTCTTTTTACTCTTTTAACCTATGATCACATATAGCTTTTTATATGTCTTACTAAAATTTGGTATCGATAATACCTTAATATAAAAAGCCTGTATCAGACATGTTCCGTCTGTGAATAATTTGTATGATTTCTTTTAAATTGTTTTATAGCCCTGGCCAGTTTTCTCAGTGGATAGAGCTTCATCTCACGGACTGAAGGGTCGTGGGTTCGATTCTGGTCAAGGGCACATACCTGGGTTGCAGGTTTGATCCCCCACCCTGGTTGGGGTCATGCAGGTGGCAACCAGTCGATGTGTCTCTCTCACATCGATGTTTCTCTGTCTCTTTCCTCTCCTTCCCTCCCACTCTCTCTCAAAAGTCAATGGAAAAAATATCCTCGGGTGAGGATTAACAAAAATAAATAAATAAATAAATAAAATTGTTTTACGTATTTTTCTTAGATTATACAGGGGAGTTGTGATAGTCTCATAGGGACTTAGAGGAGAAATTTTTTAATTTACCTGGTTAGAGGACCTACCCATACTAGGCTTTGACTCAGACTACAGTTGGCCCTTAACAATGTGCCAGGTAGGGGTGCCAACTCCCCACACAGTAAAAAAACCCACAGTTTTTTCTCAGGGCCTGAGGGGGATTGGTTCCAGGACCCGCTGTGAATACCCAAAGCCACAGATGCTCAAGTCCCCATGTAAAATGGCATAGAACAGTCCATACGGTGGGCCCTTCATATCCTCAACTTCCAACCACAGATCAAAAACAGTACAGGTATTTATGGGGGAAAAAATCCACATGCAAGTTGGCCTGTGCAGTTTTAAACCTATGATAGTCAAGGGTCAACTTCTAAGGAAAGGGAGACCACAACTGAAATGGAAGGAGAAACAAGATAATTAACGTTCACAAGCCAGGGTCCAGGAACATTTTCAAGAGTCCATATCACCACAAGCAGGTTCTCCCTCCAGAACTTCACTCGGTGCGAGATGTAATGCCCCTGGTCAGGAAACCAGCATTCACCACGGTACTGTATATGTGCTGAGGTACTAACATAGGCAAGACATGCGTGAACAAATTTATAGTGGGAATTCAGACTCTTAGCCTTAAAACGGTGAGTGTAAGTGTCACAAATTTCTGCCCCATACTTTGGATGTCATCATTCAAAGCTCTTAAGTATTCAGTGGAATTTATTGAATACATTATTACTTCAGTAGTCAATAGAACCCGAAAATTAGTGTGCTAGCTGTCTGTTTTCATGCAGGTATCAGATAATGGTTCTGTCAAAGCACGTCTAGTTTTTGAAAGGAGATTCACTTGGAGTGGTGGTTTCCATCACAGCCATGATCAGTAAGCAGAAAGATCTCATTTAAACTTGAGACAGGAAACTAAAAAGAGATTCAAAGATACAATGAAAGGGTTTTAGCCTATTTTTAAATATATGTACAAAGATGTGGATCATTACATGGTAGTAATCCACCATGGTTTTATTTAGAAAATGGAGGAAATAAAGGTTTCATGTGAAAATTTGAGATTAGTTAACCTGTTATCTCTTTACGCCTCACAAAGTGGAGCTACCCATTTTTTTTTTTTTTTTAAGAAATTGGTTTGCTTTGTGGCATGTTGTAGATAAAATGTGAGCGTCCACTCACCACCAGATAAGAAATCTGCATAACAGAAAGGACCTGCAGAGCAAGAGGGGCAGAGATTTGTCATGTGTGCTGCTGCTGCTCAGCTACTAAAACTGGCTCCCTTGCAAGGGGCATGTAACCGGGTGAGGTCATGTTCCCTGATCTGAAAAGGATGCTTCAAAATAGTATTTTTCTGGCAATAGAAAGTGATGCACAGACAACTCCTGGTTTGGGATAATGTCTCAGAAATCAAAATACTATTATGATCTCACAGGAGTCTCTCGGCTCCACAGAAACTTCTAGATATTTAGCTTTAGGACTCACAGCAGATGCCAGAAACAGCAACTGCACCTGTCTTCTAAGTCCTACTGCCAGGGCCCTGATGAAACGCTGTCCTGTCCCCTCCTGAACGCTTTCACCCCTCACCAGTCAAATGCTGCCTGATGCTCTGTACCCCTCTTGTATGTAGCATCTGTCCCTTTCTACTTTGTGTAGTAGGTATTTGTGTATATGTCTCATCTACTGAGCCCGTCTTTAAACTCCTTACATGCAGAGGGTGCTCAGTAAATATGCATTGATGAGGCAGGTCCTTGTTCTCTAGGTACTCTGCTCTCTGAGTCAGCACAGGTACTGTATGAGGAGACCAGGACACTGAACCACGGCCCTCAGACTTTCAAACCCACTTCCTCATTTATACAGGGATAAAAAATCGATAAGTCAATGCTAGCCATGTTGAATGAATTTCTACATAGCATTTTTGTATTCTGACAAATAGGTATGGGGCACTAATCGGGGGTTTGGCACTCTGAGTACAAAACAGTGCACATTCTGATGAGAAATACACTCTCAACTGGAGGAATGCAGCGTGAAAAGGGCCGTAAACGTAGCTCATAGAAATACTGGAAGTGGGTGAAGGAGGAAGTGGCTAGTTCTGCCTGGTGGCTAATTCACGTCAGGGACCAAGTCCTACAAGGTGAGTCCCAGGACAGGTTCTGGGAGTCTCAGAGGTCAGGTGGCTGAGCGCTCAGAGCCTGTGTGATGGCATCAGAATCCAGCACAGGTATGTGAATGAGACGAGTCCTACTATTCCCTCTCTTGCAGATGTAAGAGCTCCTCTTCCTCCTTAGACCCTTCGGTAGCTGTGAGTTGCTGCTCCTACAGAGTAGACAGGAATTATTTTTTCATGGCTTTCCAATGATACAGAAGCACTTAGCAAAAATCTGTGATCAATTTAGAATAAAAGGTCTAAATGCAGTTGTAGAATGCGCAAAATAAAATTCTGGTTATGAATGAAACTTTGTCTGAGATTATGGTGGTAAAATCCTCTCAGTCCTAATATTTCTACATTGAATCATTCAACAAATAAGCATCGGGTGTCTGGGGTGTGCCAGTTTCTGCTCTAGGAGTTGGAGGTCCAGTCCTTAGCTCCCATCAGCCTCCTCTACTGACCTTTACCAGAAGCAAGATGCAAATGTCGGGAAACAGTCTGACAGCACTGTTTTCACAGTGATATTTACCAGGCATTCAGACACCAAAAGTTGAATGGCAGAGTGAAGCGGAGAAATGAGATGTCTTTCTGGACAGTCCAGCTGGGAATTTCATTTGGGAGGGGCAGGGCCCAAACTCTTTCCCGTATCCTCTGAATAATTTAAGCCCTTCTCTGAGCCCTCTTTACTATGAGGTGCTAGGCATTTTGAAAAGCAGTAGTACAAATAAAAATAATACTTCCTATTTTTCTCTCCAGGAGAAAAACTAATCCCGAATCCTTGCGTTTCTAATATGGTTTAGAAAAACCTGAAGTAGTGTCAAGTTTGTAAAGTGATAAATATAACTGAGAATAAGCTATTAGAATGCATCTTACTTAAGTGAGGTTTCCTTCTGACCTTTTTTTAAATGAAAGTTGACCACTTACATTTCTTCATATTAAAGTTACCATTTTAAAGTTATGTTATGACCAACAGTAAATGACCTAATAGTTTAGATTATGACTAATGAGTTTTGTTTTTGTTTTTGTTTTTGTTTTCTTTTTGGTGGTACATACCCCTAGAGGGAACCGAACCTGGGACTCTCTGGTGCGCAGGCCAACGCTCCTCTGGTGCGCAGGCCAACGCTCAACCGCTGAGCCAAACTGGCCAGGGCTGACTAATGAGTTTTTATCTACTGGACAAGAGTTTATTGAGTGCCTACTATGTGCCAGGGCCTAGAGATACAAAGTCAGAGTTCCAGGCATCAGGAAGGACTGCAGTCTAATAAATAATTAGAATACAGTGTAATAAGTACAAACATATAAGCATGTCACATAATTACCAGTGACAAAAGAGCACACAGCCGCCTTCTTGGGTCAGAAGGAGTTAGGAGTCTTTGGAAAGGAAATGATGTGAGCTGGGTGGAAAGGTGAAAAGGAGAGTTGTAAACATCCATGCCGTGATGACAGAGAATGTATTATTAGTGTCTGAGCATCTACAGTAGCGTTCAAGTTGAAAGACACCTTATAGATCTTCTGACCCCGTGTCCCAGTCATGAAATCCCTGACAGGGAAGCAGTGCGACTGGAGCATTGGTTTTCCACGGGTGTCCTGGGCGTAGCTTCAGGTTCCTCCCCACTGTGAGGGTCAGGTGGATTTAAACTGCCTGGGGCACCTGTCCATCATTTATATTTATTTCATACATTAGTTTACATGAGTTTTCATTGGAGAAAAATAATACAGTTCTGCAGCTAAAAATCACTGGCCTACTACAAAATGCATGGGACCTGTGGGAGAGCCCCATATTTGTGTCCTTAGGCAAATGAAATTAAGTTGTTTAATGTAGGAGAAAGTGATCTGTCAACTGTAATGCACTGAGTATATTTAAATTATTTTTAAGTCATTTGGGCCTGAGTACCTTCATTTAAAAAATGAGGGTGTTTCTCCCAGGAGTTTCAAGTCCCCTGTAGCTCTAGAATTATATTGTTTTGTGATTGTCCAGCTTTCCCTTGACTATTTCTAAGACAAGAATGCTTTTTCAGTGTACTCCTTTCCATTGCTTTTGAGAAGACTTAACATTGAAATTGGAGCATCTTGTTTTGTGAATTATAGCTAGTAATTGGTTTTGTAAATTGCAAATACTGACACACAAAGCTGAGACGTGTGGTTCGTAGGCTGTGGACATTGCAATAGCTAGTAATGTGTTTTTGTTGCACATATGCCCAAAGTCAAATGCTTCAAAACTTGCTTTTAATAAAATATTTATGTTCTTTTGGTAGCCAGAAGTGCAACTTGCTGAAGGCTTTGAAGTGTTTATGCCTAAATCTCAGCTGGACTCTATATTGTCAAACTACACTCGCTCAGGAAGCCTTCTGTTTAGAAAACTGGTGTGTGCATTTTTTGATGACAAGACTTTGGCTAACTCCTTACCCAATGGGAAGAGGAAAAGAGGACTCAATGACAACCGGAAAGGACTAGACCAAAATATTGTGGGTGCAATAAAAGGTTGGTCTGCATCATTTCATTTTTGGGTTCTTTGTTGAGCTTTGCTTCATTCCATAAAGATGCAGCTGAAATTGTAGTAGACTAAGTAGTGGCTCATTTAACAGACTATTGTCAGTTTACCCACTGGCATGGCTTTTGAGTGTGAGCTCTGTAACTCAACACCCCAAATACCACTAGAATGTGCTAATTTGAGGTGATATGATATTCATCTGTTAAAGTCACAATTTAAGAGCTAGATCAATCTGCTGCAGAACCAAAAAGTAGTAGTTTCTTAATTGATTTTTAAAATGAAAGTATTTTTTTCTCTCAGTAATTTCTAACTAAGAAGTTCATCAAATATGATTTCAACTTAAATTTTTTATTATAAATATGAATAAAGCTATGATACTTTTTTTGAAAATTAAGTAAAACAGTTCTCTCCAAAGGTCAGAAGTTGCTTTTAGAAGGCCATTGCTTCTAAAGACATTTTAAATGTAAGCAAACCCACTGTGAAACCCTACCCTGGGCATCTATCTCTACACACTCCTGGTCTCCTCTGCTTTTCTGGCTTTGTGACATGGAGTCATGCCAATTACATGCAAAGAAGACCATGGGTTTCTTCCTTTTAACACCTGTGAACACGTGTCTGAATTCCACTGCATTACAATAGCCATGCAGGTACATGTATGAGTAGATATTCATTTATATCCAGTTCCACATCCTAGACCTATTTCTTAATTTAAAAATGGTTTTACTTGGGTCTCTGATAAATGCTATTTTAGCTAATAGAGGTATATGTTATTTTTTTTAAATGAATTCTCAAATATAAACACAACTACCATGAAAATGAAATTGTATATCAGGACTTAATTAATACTAGAATCACTGCGTCACTTCCTTTTTGACTTGATCCTTCCCTCCCCCGCCCTGCACCCATTACTCTGCAAAATGAGTAAATTAATTTGATAGTACTTAAAGGATACCTGGAAACCCACAATTAATTTTACAAAGTAAGCCAATTTTTAAACAGAGTCAGCAAGTTCCAGACACCCTTTGTTCATGAAGGACATAAGCCTTCATTAATAGAAAATTTTTCATTCTCCAACAGAATTTTTTTTCACTTAAAAGTGACAGTTGAGTTGTACTAAGAAATGCAACAGAGATACCATAATCCGTGTCATTTCTGGAAAGACTGATTCAGCCTGAAGTGACACTAAAAACAAGATGAGAGAATTTGAAAACTGGTCAGGGGAGTAACTAGGACTTGCTGATGTGAAGAAGGGTCCCATGTCGACTGAATGTGGCCACCTGCTAGGGACATGAAGGCCACAGTGCTGGCGCTTTTCATTGCTGACACTTTTAAACACACTGAAATGTAGCCAGGGGGCTTTAAGTTTCTCTTTTTCAGGACTGTATGTTAAGATTATGAAAGTGTTTGGAAGTTGGGGAACCATAAATGACCATGTTCCAGTTTAATAACAATAGAAATTACCCTAATAATAGATGGTAATGAAATACATCATTCCAAGTAGACTAGTAGGGGTTTACGCTACCGTTTTCCATTTAGACTGGACATTATACAGTAGTTTGAAAAAGTGTAGTACAAACAGAAATAAAGGAGATATCTTATTTTCTTCATAGCCCTACTCTTTAGCTAGAAATAAATATGGCAATGAGGTGTTTGCTCCCAGTGCATAATAAACCAGATTATTCAAGTCAAAGAAAAAGTTTCTAAACGCTATTTATATTGTTGAATTAAATCTGCATTAAAATTCTTTTAGAACAACAAAATAACTATGAAGCAGACAGAAATCTACCCATAAGCGACAAACAACCTAAGTCAATAAATATTGTATATTCACTTGTTTCTATGCAGTGTGTGTCATAGACATTTTGTTTCTTTTTCCTGATTACAGAAATAATACATGCTTGTAAAAATTCCACACCGTAAAAATAGTATGGAAAGCTGAAAGGCCTCCATAATTTCCCCCTGCAGAGGTTGCTGCGTACTTCCCTGCAGTCTTTTTCGTAAAGTGTGAATGTGGTCTCAGGTTTGTCTTTTTTTTTTTAACCTCACCTGAGGTCTTTTTTTTTTTTTTTTTTTTTTTTTTTGGCGTTTATCTTCAGATAGAGCAAGAGGGAGAAAGGGAGGAAAAGAGAGAGAGAAACATCGATGTGAGAGAGACACATTGACTGGTTGCCACCCATACGACCCCAACCAGGGCTGGGGACAACTGCAACCGAGGTACGTGCCCTTAACGGGAACCAAACCCAGGACTCTCTGGTTTACGGGCCGAAGCTCTAACCGCTGAGCTCAGGTTTGTCTTTCTTACAAGAATATTCTATCTGCACTGGTCAGCCAGCATCCTCCCTGGATGGACTCTGATAGTTTCTTGTGAGCATCTTGAGGACAGCTTGGTCTTAAATGTTTTTTATTGCTTGTTACACTCTACTAAGAGCTTTGTACAGAGTAGGGTTTCTGAAAATATAAATTGGGTGAATGAAGAGACATAGGTTTTTATTTTTCATCTTGACTTTGGCCTTAATTTATTGACCTAATGGGTCTAGAACTCAACATGTATCCTCATGTCTTCTAACAACTCATTTGTAATGATCAACATCAAAACATTGTTATAAATGTCTACCAGTTAATAAAATGCCATGAAAGCAAAGAACGGGAAACCAAAATTGAATATAAATTTGAATACACTTCTCTTAATTTCCTAATACTTTTTTTCCTTTACATATTATACATTAAGTTTATTAACCCACATATTGCAATATGAAATGATTTTGGAAGTGGCTATTAAAGGTCTTTTAGAATAACTATATTCAGTTTTTCTTGCTAATGATAGAGATAAAAATAAAATTTTTTTCTCTAAACCACGTCTTTTGATTCTGAACAAACTGGGAAAGTGATAAAATAGTTTATTTCTACAGAACAGTGGCAAGGCACTATTGCTGTCTATCACATACTTTGAAAAGATTTTGCAAATACTAAATATTCAGTCTTTCTCTGCCCTTTGAGATAGTGCACCAATACTGTATTTATGTGAAAGGTTCTACAACCTAGGAATATGTGAAGACTGGTAGATTTTATAACATCTTAGAAGTAAAAATGACAATGGAGACCGGATTTTGTTGCAGAGTGATTAGGTTGGCTAAGACAGCGGTGAGGAAAAGGGTGAATGGAAACCTGTAAAATGCTGATGGGAAAAATAGGAACAGAAATGGACTGAAAAAGGAAAGCGTTTATTCTGCAATAAATACAGAGCTCCTTGTAGTGATAATTAATATCCCCCATGACAGAATCTTAAAAATAAAATATAATCCTCTTTGTAGAGATGACATTTTCACATTGTCTCATTTGTTTTATGGTGGCTAACAGTTATTGGTAATTCATTAAAAATTCACTTATAGGGACCTGGCCGGTTTTGCTTAGTGGTTAGAGCATCAGACCATGGACTGAAGGGTCTTGGGTTCGATTCCAGTCAAGGGCATGTACCTGGGTTGCAGGGGTCGTGTGGGAGACAATCAATTGATGTATCTCTCTCTCTCCCTCACTCCCTCCCTTCCACCCTATCTTAAAAAAAAATATATATATATATATATATATATATATATATATATATATCTATCTCAATGGGAAAATATCCTCAGGTGAGGATTAATAACAACCACAAAAAATTCACTTTTAGGTATTACCCAAGGATCCTTAATTAGAAACACCTGAATACTTTGCATTCCACTGGGAAGAAGCAGCGTATTCTCTTATTGAGTGGAGCCTGAGGTCTTGGTGCTGAGGATAGTTTAGCATCTTGGATTTAATTTGGAATTGATTTTACAGCCAGCACATGGATGGAGGTCAGTGCCCAGGTACGCTCTACTCACTTTGTGCTGTACCTGCTGAAGACTATCCGATTCTTGCTATCATATACCAGGAGACCATGAGTTTGACTAACGAGAGCCATCTAATAGAGATGGAACCATTGGATCTTTGAATGCTCTTAGGAAAATATAGTTATGGCAAAGCCATCTTTAGAATCTGGGTTATGATATTTAGTTCAGCTTCATAGGCATTAGCTGAGAAAGTTTTGTTAGTATCAAACTACACCAGATTCTTGAATCCTCTTACATTCAAGGAAACTACAAATGCTTGTCGAGTCAAAGAGCTGGTCAACTGCCTGAGGCAACAAATGCTTGCAGCACACTCTACTGCTCTCCCGGGGCAGGCAGTGCTGCTCTGCCAAGGCAGACAGCGGGTCCAGAACCGCCCTGGGAGGGAGCACTGATTGGTTGGTGGTACTCCAGGCTCTGACCTGTGCTTAGAAGATTAGAAAGCCTGCCGACATTTGACACCCCCTTTCATCGGCTCTGCCGAACAGACCACCAAAACCTCGCACTTCAGCAACTCTCAAGGCTTGCAGGGTCCATATTTGTCATTTCAGAATACCTTTCTTTTCTACTTTTTACCGCCTATCATTGTTTATTTCCTTAGATTTAATCAAGAGATGTGAATAGCTGTTTTCTATCTTATTTCACATAGGCTTAAATGAATTTGGTTGGGGTATAATTTACATCTGATTTGTTACTTCTTGATAGTAACTTCTGGATTTTCCCAGAACTGTCTGAGAATGAGTCCAAAACATCGCCTTACGTTTGAATATTCTTACAATGTTGATTTCTTTTTCACTTATAGGAAAGGAACCTAAGGCCATGAGAAATTAAACTTACTTAAATTAACTTATAAACAGCTAGTAAGTGGTAAAGCCAGCATTTAATCTCAGGCTTCTCTGACCCAAAGCCACAGTCTAACTTCACTCCGTTTATGAGGAGCATTTGAGAATAAAGAGAGAACGATATCCCAATCTTAAATTTCTATTTTAAAATTTAGCATTTTGGATTCTTTGTGAATTTCACTAGAAGGCTGTCATACCAATTACTTAAAACAGCTAGTCGGTTCTTGTGTCATACAAAGCATACTCAGAGTGAATTTGGAGGTAAAGTACAGCCATGCCTCA